GTTCTTCCAGCTCTTCATCGAGGTGAATTCAAGAAACCAAGACGACCCTTTAAGAGTGACTCTTCAGTAACCTCTGGAACTGAAAGTTTAGAAGCAAGGACAACATTATCGTTCGACACCAGGGAGAGCAGATGTAACAGTAAATCAACACTTGCTAGAAGTCAGTCTGAAGTGACAACTGCCATTGAACTTAAAAACATTTCATGTGGGCTGGCAACTGAAACTGATCCAGTCATAGTGCCAGTTCGAAATTACATTGATGAGGATTCAAAAATTGTTTCCAATGAAAGTATAGTTGTTGATGAACAGGATCCTAGCGCTGGAAATGTTTTGGAAAGCTGGAGAGAAAGGAAACTGCTAAGCACAGACAACTCCTGGGAAGACCAGAATGGGGAGAGATCAGTAAGGCAAAACTGGAGGGAAAGAAAACTCCCATTTAGTACAGCTGTTGATTCTGACTCCCAAGAGCAAAAGAATGGTCCAAGTTCAGTTATGCAAAACTGGAGGGAACGACCATCAGTAGACTTGAAAGAGTCAGAAAGCAATCATTCCAGTAACACATCCAATGATAACTGGAACGAAAGAAAACTCTCATTTAGTACTGTTGACTGTGATTCCCAAGAGCACAAGAATGGTCCAAGTTCAATGACACAAAATTGGAGGGAACGACCATCAGCTGACTTGAAAGAATCAGAAAGCAATCATTCTAATAATGCATCCAGTGAAATCTGGAGAGTGAGAAACTCTGACAATTCAGGTGACGTTTGGAGCAAAGGTTCACATCACCAGAATTGGCGGGATAGGAAATCAATCAGTGTAGATGAGTCTTGGAAAGATGCTGCATGTAATCCTTCATTTGGTGGAAGATCTAAAAGGCACAGCACTGGTGATATCCAGCTTGTAAGGCAGGATTCTAATGAGAAAGGTTTGTGACTCATTATTGCACTAATTGAACAGTACACTTCCTTATACAGAGGTCAGTACTTGTTTGGAGCTGTACACATTACTGCTGAACATCAGTATAATTTATGCACTTAACCTTAAATGATGTAGGATACATATGTATATGTCTTTTTACACTCGACCAGTAAATTGTTGTATCGTGAGACCTTCTTCAAAGTAAACAGAGACTTGCCACCCAAGGGTAAGCTAGAAGTCTATATTTTTTTAACCCTGCTAACCCTCATGCATGTACAGGTAACTGGAAATAATATTATAATTATGTTTTTCAGGAAAACACTCTTCAGGTGGTGGTTTTGGGCTTCCTAAACCCACAGGACAAGATGATCAGACATTGACCCCAAGGTGGGTTTGTGAGGTTCTACATTGTACATGTATAGCCCTGTCAAAATGTTTTCTACGTGGGTGTAGTGGCAGGCAGGATAACAGACAAAGTTGGCAGTAGTTGACAGTAGGCCAAGCCATGAATTTGTTATTAGTCAAACTTAGCGAACCCCAGTGTGCAGTGGGTGGGAAGTAATTAAAATTAATTGTTATACTGTACATGTCACAGGCCATTGTCTCATAACAGCCAAAATATGGTGTAATGGCACTGGAGCTGCCAAATCTTCACTGTTTTGCATTATTGTGCCTGTTGGAAAAAGTAATGGCTGAAGTAATAGCTACAATGATGTATATGAGGGGACATTTCCTTTAGTGGAAAACAAATATGTTTACTTTTTTATGTATGGTGCCTTCTGTACTTTTGTTAGTGCGGGTGATGGACAAAACACTGACCCCTAGTCCATGGACTACCCTAATGGACTACCCAAATGGACTACCCCAAAATGGACTACCCCTAAAAAATACTATTTCAGATGAGTGGTTTGTTAAGAAGCTGCAATTATATACTTACAATGCATGGAGGATGCTTTTCTTTTCGTTTCGCATCGCCTTCAGCCGCCAGTTTGAATAACTATACTGAATTATTTAGAAAATAAAGACGTTGTTGTTGTTGTTGTTGCTGTTGCTAAAGGGACAGTCTCTGGGATGTTGTGGCATAGTGGGCTTAATAGCGACTTTGTTTATGATTTGTCCAAGTGTACTGTTTCAAAATTGGTCCATACTCCAGTAACAAAGGAGGAGGAAGCTTCGATAGACTACCATATACTGAGTCTCACAAAACCACAAAAATTTCCACGTAATTATAGTCCAGGCCAGCCAAGAATACCACTGTTTCCACTCCACTCTGAATTTTTGTAACGTAGTCGTTGGAATTTCTTGCTGTCCCATAGCTTTATCCTCATTCCCATTTCTATTTCATTTTGATACACTCAGGAAAAAAACCAGAAGACTAGCTGC